TCCCTTGTACAACTTCCTGTTCTTTAGTCTCTCTTTTTTGTTGGTGACTTTGCTCCGGCTGCTGCCGCTGTTCTTCTCTCCAGTTTTCATGTTTCCTTGTTGTTTCTTTCAATCGATCCTTCTCACGATGATTTTGCCTGTTACTTCTATCTCGACTGTGACCCCTATAATTCTGATCTTGACTGTGACCTCTGAAGTCCCTGTCTCTGCTGAGTCCTCTGTTATTCCTGTCTTTGTTCTCAGTTGCATTACTCCGTTCCTTGCTTTCAGCTCTGTTACTTCTCTCTTTGCTTGGACCCCTGTTAGTTCTGTCCTTACTATATCCTCGGTTACGATGGCTTCTATAATTTCGGTCACGACTTGAACCACGATTGCTGCGATCACCACTGTAGCCTCTGCTTTGATCTTTATTCTGTTCTCGTATACTTCTCTCCCTGCTGAGACTCCTGCAAAAAAGAAAATACACACACACATTCCTATTAGAAGAGATATTTCACTTTCAATGTTTTATGACGACGATGCGGTGTTCAGATATGCCAGGATCACAACCTATAAAATAATTCAAAGTTTAAATAATATGTAAATAGCATATGTACCATAACTACAGATGGAATCCGAATATCAAGAACACAGGCACTGCTGCACTCTGTTTTCTTTCTCATGTTTTAGTCACAAACATAAAACCTTTCAATTCAAGAGTTTCAAGTCAGATTAATTTGTAGATTACTTAGTGAGCAGCAGAGATTGTAGTGTTAAGTGGGGTACCACTGTATGGGGGAATCAGTACTCGCATGAAAGAGCTAAAGAAAAACATTGAGACACCATCGAGCTAACAACAAATATTTGAGCACAGTATCCTCAAAATATACATGTGAGATGCATCATGAAGAAGCTAAACCCATTCAGTGCGACGGCAACAGAAATGCCTATGGTTTACTTTAAGATAATTTTCAATAATAGACAAGACTGGAAAGATATATTAATATCGGACTACACAGTTTCCACACACATTATTTGCGAACTGAATTCTAAATAATTCCAGCTGAAATAAAAAAATCTTTTATAATAATTCACTGTATGACTCTACTGTTGATCCCACCTTACGAAGTGTCGCCATCTGTTGGAAAATTTCTGCCACCATGCTGACTGAACCGTCAAATGTACAGCTCGTTTTGATGATTTTATTTTAATTCATATGGATAGCCTTTCAATTAATACCTAGCATCAATACGTTACTCCAGCAACTAAAATACTATATGTTACAGAGAACAAAATATGAAATTAATCTGACCACAAATGACTGAACCACATAACAGTTAAATCTAACACAAATATCATTAACAAACTCACCTATTATCAGCTGGGCGTGGTTCCCCACCTCGTCTGAAAATACAGGAACACTATTATATAAGAAGAAACAGAGAGACTTCTTCGAGATCTGAATCTTAAAATAGGCAAAACATACGATGGTTGAAAACTGAGATATATAACGTGATGTCATTTTTGTTTTCGTATCCAGTACACACTATTCAGCATGGTGTGAATTGGTGGTTAGCAGGATTCACGACCCATCAGTACATGGGTTCGATCGGGACCGCAACATTTAACGCTCCTGCTGTGACCCTCTTTTTGAGAGATGATGATGAAAGTGGAGTTGAGATGCCACGGAGAAACCCCGGAGGAAAACTCCTTGATGCCTGGACTACGGCCTTGCCCAACACAAGTTATAAAGTCGGGCACCGCCGGGAATCGAACCCGGGACCCCAGGATTACAAGGCCAGCGTTCTAACCGCTAGACCACCTCATCTTATTATTATTTAGTGGTCTGTCTGACAACAGGTCCATATGAACAGGATCCTTCCATCCTTTTCTCGGACTGGGACCTGTTCATATACGTTCTTGGCAGATGATCCAGAAGTGGTTTGCCGTTGCCTTCTTCTGTGTGTGAATGGAGGAATTGTTGGGATGCCACGGAGGAAAACTCCGTGTTGCCTAGACCACGGCGTTGCCCAACACAAGTTATAAAGTCGGGCACCGCCGGGAATCGAACCCGGGACCCCAGGATTACAAGGCCAGCGTTCTAACCGCTAGACCACCTCATCTTATTATTATTTAGTGGTCTGTCTGACAACAGGTCCATATGAACAGGATCCTTCCATCCTTTTCTCGGACTGGGACCTGTTCATATACGTTCTTGGCAGATGATCCAGAAGTGGTTTGCCGTTGCCTTCTTCTGTGTGTGAATGGAGGAATTGTTGGGATGCCACGGAGGAAAACTCCGTGTTGCCTAGACCACGGCGTTGCCCAACACAAGTTATAAAGTCGGGCACCGCCGGGAATCGAACCCGGGACCCCAGGATTACAAGGCCAGCGTTCTAACCGCTAGACCACCTCATCTTATTATTATTTAGTGGTCTGTCTGACAACAGGTCCATATGAACAGGATCCTTCCATCCTTTTCTCGGACTGGGACCTGTTCATATACGTTCTTGGCAGATGATCCAGAAGTGGTTTGCCGTTGCCTTCTTCTGTGTGTGAATGGAGGAATTGTTGGGATGCCACGGAGGAAAACTCCGTGTTGCCTAGACCACGGCGTTGCCCAACACAAGTTATAAAGTCGGGCACCGCCGGGAATCGAACCCGGGACCCCAGGATTACAAGGCCAGCGTTCTAACCGCTAGACCACCTCATCTTATTATTATTTAGTGGTCTGTCTGACAACAGGTCCATATGAACAGGATCCTTCCATCCTTTTCTCGGACTGGGACCTGTTCATATACGTTCTTGGCAGATGATCCAGAAGTGGTTTGCCGTTGCCTTCTTCTGTGTGTGAATGGAGGAATTGTTGGGATGCCACGGAGGAAAACTCCGTGTTGCCTAGACCACGGCGTTGCCCAACACAAGTTATAAAGTCGGGCACCGCCGGGAATCGAACCCGGGACCCCAGGATTACAAGGCCAGCGTTCTAACCGCTAGACCACCTCATCTTATTATTATTTAGTGGTCTGTCTGACAACAGGTCCATATGAACAGGATCCTTCCATCCTTTTCTCGGACTGGGACCTGTTCATATACGTTCTTGGCAGATGATCCAGAAGTGGTTTGCCGTTGCCTTCTTCTGTGTGTGAATGGAGGAATTGTTGGGATGCCACGGAGGAAAACTCCGTGTTGCCTAGACCACGGCGTTGCCCAACACAAGTTATAAAGTCGGGCACCGCCGGGAATCGAACCCGGGACCCCAGGATTACAAGGCCAGCGTTCTAACCGCTAGACCACCTCATCTTATTATTATTTAGTGGTCTGTCTGACAACAGGTCCATATGAACAGGATCCTTCCATCCTTTTCTCGGACTGGGACCTGTTCATATACGTTCTTGGCAGATGATCCAGAAGTGGTTTGCCGTTGCCTTCTTCTGTGTGTGAATGGAGGAATTGTTGGGATGCCACGGAGGAAAACTCCGTGTTGCCTAGACCACGGCGTTGCCCAACACAAGTTATAAAGTCGGGCACCGCCGGGAATCGAACCCGGGACCCCAGGATTACAAGGCCAGCGTTCTAACCGCTAGACCACCTCATCTTATTATTATTTAGTGGTCTGTCTGACAACAGGTCCATATGAACAGGATCCTTCCATCCTTTTCTCGGACTGGGACCTGTTCATATACGTTCTTGGCAGATGATCCAGAAGTGGTTTGCCGTTGCCTTCTTCTGTGTGTGAATGGAGGAATTGTTGGGATGCCACGGAGGAAAACTCCGTGTTGCCTAGACCACGGCGTTGCCCAACACAAGTTATAAAGTCGGGCACCGCCGGGAATCGAACCCGGGACCCCAGGATTACAAGGCCAGCGTTCTAACCGCTAGACCACCTCATCTTATTATTATTTAGTGGTCTGTCTGACAACAGGTCCATATGAACAGGATCCTTCCATCCTTTTCTCGGACTGGGACCTGTTCATATACGTTCTTGGCAGATGATCCAGAAGTGGTTTGCCGTTGCCTTCTTCTGTGTGTGAATGGAGGAATTGTTGGGATGCCACGGAGGAAAACTCCGTGTTGCCTAGACCACGGCGTTGCCCAACACAAGTTATAAAGTCGGGCACCGCCGGGAATCGAACCCGGGACCCCAGGATTACAAGGCCAGCGTTCTAACCGCTAGACCACCTCATCTTATTATTATTTAGTGGTCTGTCTGACAACAGGTCCATATGAACAGGATCCTTCCATCCTTTTCTCGGACTGGGACCTGTTCATATACGTTCTTGGCAGATGATCCAGAAGTGGTTTGCCGTTGCCTTCTTCTGTGTGTGAATGGAGGAATTGTTGGGATGCCACGGAGGAAAACTCCGTGTTGCCTAGACCACGGCGTTGCCCAACACAAGTTATAAAGTCGGGCACCGCCGGGAATCGAACCCGGGACCCCAGGATTACAAGGCCAGCGTTCTAACCGCTAGACCACCTCATCTTATTATTATTTAGTGGTCTGTCTGACAACAGGTCCATATGAACAGGATCCTTCCATCCTTTTCTCGGACTGGGACCTGTTCATATACGTTCTTGGCAGATGATCCAGAAGTGGTTTGCCGTTGCCTTCTTCTGTGTGTGAATGGAGGAATTGTTGGGATGCCACGGAGGAAAACTCCGTGTTGCCTAGACCACGGCGTTGCCCAACACAAGTTATAAAGTCGGGCACCGCCGGGAATCGAACCCGGGACCCCAGGATTACAAGGCCAGCGTTCTAACCGCTAGACCACCTCATCTTATTATTATTTAGTGGTCTGTCTGACAACAGGTCCATATGAACAGGATCCTTCCATCCTTTTCTCGGACTGGGACCTGTTCATATACGTTCTTGGCAGATGATCCAGAAGTGGTTTGCCGTTGCCTTCTTCTGTGTGTGAATGGAGGAATTGTTGGGATGCCACGGAGGAAAACTCCGTGTTGCCTAGACCACGGCGTTGCCCAACACAAGTTATAAAGTCGGGCACCGCCGGGAATCGAACCCGGGACCCCAGGATTACAAGGCCAGCGTTCTAACCGCTAGACCACCTCATCTTATTATTATTTAGTGGTCTGTCTGACAACAGGTCCATATGAACAGGATCCTTCCATCCTTTTCTCGGACTGGGACCTGTTCATATACGTTCTTGGCAGATGATCCAGAAGTGGTTTGCCGTTGCCTTCTTCTGTGTGTGAATGGAGGAATTGTTGGGATGCCACGGAGGAAAACTCCGTGTTGCCTAGACCACGGCGTTGCCCAACACAAGTTATAAAGTCGGGCACCGCCGGGAATCGAACCCGGGACCCCAGGATTACAAGGCCAGCGTTCTAACCGCTAGACCACCTCATCTTATTATTATTTAGTGGTCTGTCTGACAACAGGTCCATATGAACAGGATCCTTCCATCCTTTTCTCGGACTGGGACCTGTTCATATACGTTCTTGGCAGATGATCCAGAAGTGGTTTGCCGTTGCCTTCTTCTGTGTGTGAATGGAGGAATTGTTGGGATGCCACGGAGGAAAACTCCGTGTTGCCTAGACCACGGCGTTGCCCAACACAAGTTATAAAGTCGGGCACCGCCGGGAATCGAACCCGGGACCCCAGGATTACAAGGCCAGCGTTCTAACCGCTAGACCACCTCATCTTATTATTATTTAGTGGTCTGTCTGACAACAGGTCCATATGAACAGGATCCTTCCATCCTTTTCTCGGACTGGGACCTGTTCATATACGTTCTTGGCAGATGATCCAGAAGTGGTTTGCCGTTGCCTTCTTCTGTGTGTGAATGGAGGAATTGTTGGGATGCCACGGAGGAAAACTCCGTGTTGCCTAGACCACGGCGTTGCCCAACACAAGTTATAAAGTCGGGCACCGCCGGGAATCGAACCCGGGACCCCAGGATTACAAGGCCAGCGCTCTAACCGCTAGACAACCGTGGCGGTACCTGAATCAATATTCCTCTTTATATATGCTGGCTGTAAATCAGGGTGCCGGCCTTTGCACTGGCATCACAGAAATACAGTTTAATTTTGTTATACTTTTACATAACGCAAATTCATAGCATTTTCTCTTACCTCCTATGACGCTTGCGTCTCTCTCTCGGAGGATGTGTCTGGCTTTTTTCTTGTAAGCTGGCAAGGGAGGAGCTGCGTGTCATCACGTCGCTCAACATTCCTTCTGCTTCCAATCGCTCGCTCTGTTCTACTTCCTCACCCCAATCCAGAATTTTTGGTGATGGCGAGTTTCGCAATACGTCATTAGACGGAGCGCAAGAAGTTGACTCTTGATGATACAGCTTCTGTGCGCTTCCTTTAGACTGAAACCTAGTTTCATTCCGTTTTCTGTTCTGATACGTTTCCCCGGGCTCACAGGGATTGCTATCACTTCGCCTTCTGAAACGCAGGTAGAACACTTTATCGATAAATCATGATTATTAAAAGTAATGAATCGATTTGAACAGCGCATATTCACAATAATAATATATTTAACTGGTTTAAGCGACAGACGTTACGATGGGTACCACAAAACAAAATGCATGCAGAAAGAAATACAAAACTTTGTTGGAAGAAATAATGAGAAAAAGAATGGATTTATCTCGATCATAACAATGTAATACGGATGTAACGCGCTGCATGTGCACAGTGAGAAACTGGCCCGATGTTTTCAGCAAATGTAAACCACTGGAATGTGGGCAACATAGCGAATCCATTCTTCAATCAAACCGACAATTTCAGAAAGTCAATATGAGTAAAACAATGCTACATCACATACTTCTGATGATTTCATGAGGTGTTTGAGGGCGGAATATAATCACAAATGGCCTCTAGCTTCCTAGATCCATTTAATTCAAGTCAGAATGTGAGATTGTGGACAAAACCTCTAATTATAAATTGACTGACATCCTCTGTACGAGCTTCTTATTATATCTACACAGAAATTAAAATGGCAAATCTAAAAACGTGATCAAGAACCACAAAGTCTGTCCTCCAGGTTAGTTTTAACGTACGCTCTTAAATTACACAACATTTACTCACCTATACCTAGCAGAATGCGGATTGGAAGGTTTGTTGGAAGTCCCCCCTCTTCTTTCATCCAGAGGTGGACCCTTAGCTGTTGACAGCGGTGATGTTGACGGCGGTGGCGGAGGCGGTAAAGCTGGTGGTGGTGTTCTTATTCTACTGCCAACCCCCATTCTATCATTTGGCCTCAACAAGTTTTCCTGGCTTGGAACTCGTCTAAAGACGTGACCCAAAGACGACGGACCCGTGCTACATGTCGGAGGCATCGGCAGTCGATCAGGCGTGAGAGACCTTGAGAACCTGGCAGCAGCTGCAACCATTTTCTCCATCTCCAACTCATCAGGTCTCAACCTGCCACGGCCTCTTGCACGTGAGTTAGGCAGCGTGTGCGCCCAGTGTTCCTGCGCATTGTGCTGTACCACGTACGATGATGATTCTTGATTCTGATGTGGCAAATGTGGAGTCATGGGGGGGTGAGGGTGAACATGATGATGCTGTTGGTAATTACCTCCACTGCCTTGAAACGTTACTGTACTACCGTCCCACACATCTTCTGAGGTAGTGCCAATATAACTGGAGGAAGAGGCCATATTTTCTGCCAGGTATTTCTTTTTGAGGCGCGGTGGAAGAGAGTCATAGCAAGGGTGAGGTTTTGGGTTGCCCTTGTTGACAGTGGGAAGCATACTGCAGTCCTTTACACTACCCCTGCGTCCGGATGGAGGTTTCGACTGCAATTTGTCCCCATTCCAGCCACGTCCTCCAGATGTTCCAACAGGCTCTACACTTCGTGTGTCACGCATTCTATTTGTGTCAAGAGGCAGACTGGCAGGAGGAAGTGCACGGGGTTCTGACGCCTGTCTAATTTCCCTTGACACATATGACACATCATTTCTTCCCTGATGATAAATATGAACTGTTGTGGAAGATTCAGTATTCCCAGATGATGTCTGATCATCTTCTTGATTCTTCAAGTCCCCATCTACAGAATGATAATTCTTGCACTTACCTGAGAACTTAATTAAATGTGGTTTACACTCATTGCTCTTTAAACTAGAAGCACCACCTTGTTTCACCATTCCATTTCCCACACCTCTTTCAACCCAATTTTTCTCTTTCTCACCAGATCCTCTTCCACTTTTCCGACCTCCTTCATATTTCATTCTCCTAAAACTTTCTCCCCTGTTTGTCTGAGGTCCACCATTCCTGTCCAACGTTTCTGGTCTTTGTGACCGTAACTCTCTACAATGATCTGAATGTGAATGATGGTCGACTTCTTCATCCCAACATTCTTCTTCCACTGATTGAGATGAATAGTCTGTTTGTCCTTTGAAACTATCTCTTTCCTTAGAACAACTGTTGTTAGTGGCAATTGTTTCTTCAGTCATATCCACTGGAGATTTATTTACTACATCTCGCTCAGCAATAGCCTGTGCAAGAGGTTTAGGTATGTAGATTGCCTGTTCTGGTTTCCTGCTTTTCTTTCTGGCATCACTAGCTACAGATTTTGTGCTTCCTCCAAGAGACACATGATCTAAGCTGTTCCTCTGGTCCTTAAAACTTGAGCCAGGTACTGAAAGCTGAACATTTCTCATTCTGTCCTCAATGGCTGTCAGTCCTCTACTGTGATTTGATACATCAGTTGTTTCTCTCACATCACTGCTTCGTTTTCTAGTACTGTTAAGGTGCTCTTGTGACAATGAATGATTTGGCTTCTTACCACCACGTTTAAAATCTTCAGATACACTGCTAAGAGAATTTTCGGTGGAAGACTTAGCTCTTCGAACATTATCATAGAAAACAATTTCTTCGTCTCCTTGTGCAGATTTTCGCAATGGTCCACTTCCTGGACGATAGATCTCAACTTGTGGCTTTCCTCGGCGGTTTCCTTTCATATCATCTTTTACTCTAGCACTTTGAACATCTGAAAAAAGACATATCATTCAGGTCTACTGTTTGTCTCGAAGAAATAGGTATGGTCCGAATAAATAACCTTAAAATAGCTCGCCAACCCGATATATGAAACTTAACCTAGACACTCATTTTATACAATAATAATTTTTACTTAGATGCCAAAACTATGGTTGTTTTACAAAACCAATTTGGTACGAATTGTTTTATGGCGTGGAATATAAAACATATTTGTGTAAAGACCCTCCAAATGTCAAAACCTAAGTAATTTTAAGATTCACAACTGATTTCAGCTTATAGCCTTGCTTTTTGCAATCCACAACAAACAATAGCTATGCCCAAGATGAACAAAACAAATTTATAAATTATGCTATTCTTCAAACATATGAACAAAAATAGTTTTTAAGCATTTTTTATTCCCTATATAATAGCCATTAACATTTTTACCTTGATAATTATCTTCACATTTAATGCGTCCTTTGTCGACATTCGCCATGATGCCGAAGAGTAACACTGTCCACAACGATTGACGCAATTTAGATACTGTCTTACGTACACCGTAATAAAATTACTATAAAAACCATCGTGATAGACTGCAAAGTAGCATAAATTCAATTGCGCCACAGACATATTTAATTCTGATTGATCGAGTATTTCAAGTGAAAAATGAAATTCTCAGTTCAGGTAAACTAATAGTCAGTTTAATAACTATATATACATCAAACTATATATAATCAAGTATAAAGTATTTTTGACTGTAGGCATTATTTGTTTCCCGAAAATATAAAGAATATCACACCTACATTATTTTGATATATGGGTGGGATCTATATGTGTACACACACACACACACACACAGTTTAGATTTTAAATCTCTGAAATTTATTGCAAACCAATAAAGAAACGGAGACTGATCTTGATTGGCTTTGTTTTATATTTCTTAAAACAAAATTTTTATCTAATGGATTTTCTAGATAAAAATAATTTTTCTACAATATTCTTCAAACATGTTTATAATTGTCAGCCCTTATTCATATTTTGGTAAATCTTAATTCTTTTGAGCCCAGCATGTTGTAATCTGTTTAGTCAATGTAGACTCAAAGCTTCCTCTACTATCCAATTACAGAATGTTGTTTCTTCCTGCCTTTCCCTCCCCCTCACATAACAGTTTAAACCAAATTCATATGAAAACTATACCTCAAATTCCAGCACTGGTTGATAAAGATCAGCCTTTCTTTTATGCAATTCAAATAGATAAATCTGTATTCTTTAATACAAGTTTCCAAAAATTCAGGTCTTAAAAAACCAAATGTCACTTCTGAAACTGTCCAAAATGAAGGCAGCAACATTTCACACTATTTTTCTTTATATCTGAAAACTGAATAACCATCATAATACAAGATTATATATATATCAAACCTTCTCAGCCTGTTGCACGTGAAGATGTTGCTTTCAGCGGTATACACTCTAATCATAAATAATATGAAGAAAAAGCAAAGATTATAATTTTATGTGAAAAATAATTCCAACTTCTTAGCAGGCATAATATTTTGCAAACAAAAACTTGATATAATAACTTCTTATGTTGTTTACTAGAAAACGTAGGTTGCATGCAAGGAGTCTACACATGCTCAGAAGAAACACAATGACAGCCCACCCACACCAACCTCTATTGGAATTCCAGGTCTCATCACCACCCAGCGAAAAGGCAGCACCTTCCACAACAATGGTTACAGGAAACAGTAGATTCTCCAAACTCTCGATCCAAAGATCACCATATAGACAAAAAAAAGTAAGTTGTCATTCAGATTTGTTTCAGCACGACTTTCAACCACATCAGCAGGGTGCTGTCAAAACAAATCATGAAGATAGTAGGTCTCCCACCACAGAAGCTTTCCAGTTTTCTTCAGCCTGTCAATGATACCCTGACCATAAAAGTGCTAGTTTTTTTTCAAAAGACCATGGCATGTATTTTCCTTCATCTATCCACGGTCCATGCAAAGAGCTTCCAAGATGCTGTCCCCCATTCTACCATCGTCATAACCGTGATCCATCCACTCACTGTCCTGCCATGTACACCATTGGGTTTGTGATACTCCCTTCCTCTGATCTGTTCCATCCCCCACTGGCCCTGAAAAGGGCTGATTTATTCTCCCTGTGCTTGAAGCTTCCGTATTGGCTTGGACAATTTCCCCCCATTCACCCAAACTTCCCTTCGTTTGAATTCCTTAACTTCAGACTTTGGTCACATCCATATTGCAGCGTTTTGTGTTAAATTCATTGAATTTATAATTTAATTACATAATTTCCCAAAATTTTTAAACTATGCATATCATACTTGAACGACAGAAACGCAGGGTAGACAAATCCATTTTCGGTGACCTCAATCAACACGCAACCCTGGTCGGCCCCATGATCAACAACTTCTGGAGAGACGAGGAAGACAAATAGGTATATACTGTCCAATTAAAAATGAACCTCCTATTTCTTCAACAACAAAACAGACGAATGGGACGAGAAAACAGGTTCCCAGGTCCCCTTGTTGTTCTTCACTTTGCTGTTCAGACAAGTGTTATTTCCTTTCTCACACAAGTTCGACAGACAGACAAAACTGGGTAAAAGTGTGCAGACATTGCTGCTTCTTTTATCTTTTATGCTGGTACATGTTGTCTTGTCTCATTTTGAGACTCTGCCTATTGCCATAATTTCTTCTCCATATGAACGAATCTAATGCACGTCATCTCTCTAAAGCTGATGAGAACAGAAATTGGGTAGCAGGTTTTACTTCAGCTCTGGTCCTTCTAGAAACACAGACATCTTGAAACAATTTTGCAGTCACCAGTTCATCTTCTCATAAATTTGCTATCTTACAGGAAAAGGTCATGTGGGGTTTAAAAATATTAATATCCAACTCAAGCAATAAACAGTATATGTACTTATTTCATACAAACTATGGTACAAAAATTTTACACTGCACAGATCGCATACACATACACAAAGCAGGAAAAAAAAAAAAAAACTAATGCGACATCTAGTGAAGGTCAGAATCAACTGAGACACACACTGAAGTCTTCCCACTTCTTCGACTTGTCTGCGCAAGGTTGGAACTTTGTTTATCAGCCAAAGCTACAGCTTGCAACATGACTACAAACATCACATACACCGCATCATTGGTTGGTCTCGTCTTCAGGCCTTGGAATGTTGCGCCAAACCTCGTGAGCTGTAAAGTTCATGCACACACACACAAAACAAAGACTAGATTTCTCGACAGCCATTTCAGTTCAAAGCACTGCTTCAGCCTCCATTTTTTTTTATCCATTGGCTCACCTTAACAGGGGTACAATGTGAGAAGAAGTCTAAGACGGGGTTGTAGGCACACGGGGGTAAGATTTTGGAAACAAATAAAAGAAAAAATTTAATTCTAATGTATTCTGTACAAATAAATTCTAAAAACAGATAAGCTCTAACACATTAAAGGCTTTGAAATGTGATGTTACTGGTCCTTTCCCAGAGTTCGGGTCATCAATTACTGCAGCATCCGATGCTAAATGATACACCAAGAACTAAATCAATGCACAGTCATCATGTAAAATTTCACACGTATCAAATTTAGAAAAAGCGCAGATCCAATTCCCTCTTCTTCGAATACAAAACTGCAAAGCTTTTTGTGTGATATCTAGGATGTGCTAATAATACATGCTTCTGTCATGGGTGCAACGTACAGCATTATGGAATATGAAATAAATTATAAGAGAATTTCTTTCTGTGGTAAACATATTCATTTGCATCTTATTTTAACCTTGGCAAGAAAAATCCACCGTCAAGAGAATTTCTTAAAAGGTAAAACAGCGTATCGGCTTATAAATCACTTAAATTTATGTGGATCCTTTCCAAGGAGACTGCATTTTACAGTGCTTACCTTACTAATGCATACATTTGCATACCTAAGTAAACCATTTATCGTTTCTATCTTGTGCTTCAGAACTCGTCTGTGGACCAGTATTAATTGTAGCTTGTCAGTATCAATTGTACTTTGTGGCAGTGTGATACGTTTATTCATACAATATAAAAATGTAGTAATGACCTGTGATGGTCCATCACGACACACTGCCGTTTGGTAAGCACGTCAACTTTTTGATAAGAGAAATTTACGACAATCAATGTGAGCACGGGAAAGGACGAATGATTTCAATAATACGCTCAATTATGAAAACTGATGGCATTTAAAACCACTCTCATACATCCTCAAGCACTCACCTGGTTGAAAGAACCAGATTAATTTCATAAATTACTAGAAATAAAACATGTCAATCACACTTCCTGTCATCACATGGTGTTGTACACACTATTAGTGTGGCGGGGCTTATTTATTGTGAGGCGAGCCAATGGGTGAGTCTTGCCCTGCTGCTGCTTCTTACTAGCAGCCTTAGCCACGACATTAGCGACCACCACGCTAGGTGACGGTCCCACACAGCTACGTACGTGCGGCGCCGTCGGGGGCCGCGCGTTTGGTCCTTCCTTACCGTTGCGAAGGTTACGAACCAGCAAGGAAGAATGCTTATTAGCGTTGTTTTGAATATAAGGAATCTCAAGACTGGATTTTCGTAAGGGAACGGGTGGTTGCTGCTGGGACGCTGATGTCCTCCTGGGAACAGTCTCGTTTTCTGAAAACTTGTGTCTGCAGCCAAGAGAAGGCGAGTCAGGATGCCCTACGGTGTTCTTGCTCACTTCATACTTTCCCACCAACACCTTCACTGACAAGTCCTCTGTGGTAGAGACGCAGCAAGGACTGCTTGAGGACTTGCATTGAGGATGGCTGCTCACAGGTGATGATGGGAGACTGTGCGTCTTCAAGCCATCTGGAGATCTCTTCTGATCACCATCACTTCCAGATAATTCAGTGGATGTAATGACACATTTTTCTGTCTTATTTACAGATTTTGCTTCAAACTCTTTCTTTAGATTCTTGACAAGACCCGAAACACTTTTCTGGCTATCCATAACCTCTGGAGATCTTGGCAATGCATTAGTGTCTTTGGTAACATCTGCAGAACTGTCAACTGATATGCTCCTTCTTGTAACATTGGTTAAGTTTTCCAACACCCTCTTCTGATGTCTTACTGACGCACACTGAGTGGTGCTGATAATACAAGGACTAGTTTCACTCACCGATTCACACGAGACAGCCGCAGACAGATCGCGAGGAGTTAAGCAGACCATAGACACAGACGGTAGGGAATGTGATGGAGGAGTCAGGGACTCGATACCTTCTACTAAACTAACAGCCGATGTAGTGGGTGCACTAGCAGAGAGACAGCATAAAGTGTGAGGAGGAGAATCAGGCACAACCACTGCAGAGCAGGAGTCCCTATCTAAGTCTGTTCGTCTTGATATGGCACTAGACTGTTGTGATATCACATCTTCCACTAATCTGTCACTAGCAGCTGCAGTATTCAGAAAGGTGATGTTAGGCTGAGAGGTGGCCATCTTTTCGGTAGACACCGGAGCGGTGCCCACCGAGTCATTACTCTCACTTCCTATTCCATGATGTGAGCAGAGTGTAGGAGAGCTAGCATAGTGGACAATAACAGGACTTTCAGCCTGAAACTGGATTACCATATTCCCGGAATGAAGGTCGGAGGAGTGAGGATCAGACGAAGGGAAAGAAAAGCCTGTAGTAGGAAGTAATCTGTCTGAGGATGGGCTCCGGTAAGGACGGGGTCCATGGATCTTGACGTTCATTCCTGGGTTAGAATCTCCAGCCCGGATGGAAGAAGACAATGGGGATTCTTGGCTGCCGGCCACTGGAGATGCAGGAGATTCACTTCGTTGCTGAGCTTCAGAACATACGCGCTTTACAGTGCCGGTACCTTCCTCCAGCTTCTGCTTTGTTCTCTTCACAGTGCCAGGGTACCACGGTATTTCATCACGATCATAGGGAAACATTCCGCTGCTGCTGCTCCCAAACAAATCATCCAAATGCGTTTGAATTGGCTGCTGGTATTTCTCACCACGTTCATTGACGTACTGCATAGGTGGTCGCATGTCATATGACCCCCAAGAACTGTTACGTGATGGTAACGTACCTCCCCCACTATATGTCCATCTTGTGTCTCCTGATCCCCAAGAACTCTGGCGGGATGGCGCATCACGAGCCTCCCCTTGGAAACCTAGCACAACAGCACTGTCGTACGAGCTCCACGAACTTTGCCGTGAAGGACACTCCCTGCTCGGAGAGTCACTCGAATGTTCTGTGACAGATGGAGGTAGTATTGGAGGTGGCGGTGGTACTGGTGGAGACGCTGCATTTGTGGCAGGCACGGTGCCAGGTATCACTACTCGCTGTTGCTTGCGTTCTTCTCGCTCAAACACACGGTCCAGCTGGGCAGAGAACGGATCTCCCTCCTTCCTAGGTAACATTCTGTTCCCTGTTCCTACTTTGTCTTGCCCAACACTTGGTGCTGACAATCTCTCTATAGTATCTGTATCCACTAACTTCAACTCAGAAACAAATATCACATCTTCAGCTTTGTTTGTTAAAGGTTCATGCACACATTTTTCTGCCACTTCAGTAGAAGAGGTCCAGACTAGGCAGTCACTATTACTTGGCACCACAGGTTGAGAAACAGGAGTTCTGGGCGGGGAAGAAGTAACTGGAGTAACGTGTTCCACGGCATAAACTGTAGGGGATTCTTTCTCCCCAGGATCCCAGATCTCCTTCTTGACTAGGACTGCAGTGAGCATGTGTGGACGTAGCTTGGTTTGCGACTGTGCCGTGTGCTCACCTTCTTCAACTGTGTTACTGCACGGTCTCTCTTGTTCTGCTTCGACAGCACTTGGAGACACGGGCTTTGAA